GAATGTTGTTTATTGGTCCAGTGGTGAGGATTTTTGTTTTCTTGACATTGAGATGTAATCCATATCGAAGTATTTTCAATAACCTCATATGGATGTGAAAGCTGGATAGTGAATAAGGAAGACCGTAGAAGAATTGATGCCTTTGAGTTGTGGTGTTGGAGGAGAATACTGAAAGTGCCATGGACTGCCAAAAGAACCAACAGATCTGTTTTGGAAGAAGTGCAGCCAGAATTCTCCTTGCAGGCCAAGATGGCCAAACTTCGTCTCTCATACTTTGGACATACTGTCAGGAGGGAATAGTCGCTGGAGAAGGATATCATGCTTGGTAGGGTGGAGGGTCAGAGAAAAAGAGGAAGACCCCCAACGAGATGGATTGGCCAGGTGGCAGCATTGATGGACTCAAGTGTGGCAGCGGTAGTGAGGTTGGCCCAGGATCAGACGTTGTTTTGTTCTGCTGTGCATGGGGTCGCTATGAGTTGGTGCCAACTCGATGGCACCTCACAACAACAACAAGAGTCAGAACCAACTCGATGGGAATAACCACAACCCCCCCCTTACTGGTTTACCCCAAGAGTTCACATCCTTGGGGATCATCCCATACCTGCCAAAGCACTAGGGATCATGGCCCAGCCCAGATGGTACATGTGGTCACAATTTAATCCATGACAGTAGCTCATTCTTTCTATTGCCTCCTGTTAGTGTTCTGTTGTACGGCTATGCTGCAGTCTGTCCATCCCCTCCTGACTGTGAGACATCTCAGTTGTCACCAGTCTAAGACGGTTATGAAGAAGGCTGCTGTGGCATTCAGGTGGGATCCTTTCTGTGGACATAGTCCCAGTACAGGCCTAGGAGTGAAGGTGCTGTGTTGTATGGAGTCCTGGTGTGACAATCAACGCTGGACCAATGACCACAAGACTGGTGGTTCAAACCCACCCGCCACTCCTTGGAAACCCTATACAGGATTCCTATGAGTCAGAATCAACTCAGCAGCACTTAACAACAACATGGTAAACGAATATATAACTTCCTAAGAAACTGCCTAGCAATCTTCAGAATGGTTATACTATTTTGATTCCCACCAATGATGTGTGGGATTTCCAGAGATTCACTGTCGTCTACTAACGTTTGAAGGTCTCCATCTTTTTTAGCTTAGTCATTCTAGTGAATAAGACACATTTGAATGATGGTGTAGAAGGAAAATATTGAATATATGTCAAGAGACTATTGAATATATGCCAGAAGATCAAACCAATCTGTGTCGGAATAAATAAAACCAGAATGCTCCTTGGAAACCAGGATGGCGAGACTTCACTTCTCATACTTAGGACGTACTCTCGGGAGGGACCCGTTCCTGGAGAAGGACATCATGCTTGGTAAAGTGGAGGGTCAGTGAAAATGAGGAAGACTCTCAATGAGCTGGGTTGGCACAGTGGCAGCAGTGATGGGCTCAAGCGTAGCAACGATTGTGAGGTTGGCACAGGACCGGGCAGTGTTTCATTGTGTTGTGCAGAGAGTCGCTATGAGTTGGAACAGACTCGGTGGCACCTACCAACAACCACCTTAGCTTTGAAATATGCGGTCCGTTGTGGCATAAGGAACAAGCAAAGTGAAGAGCACCTGCCCCTCAAATGCTCATTCTACCTGTTCTGGAATTCCCCACAGTGGCTTCTGGGAACAGAGCCCTTTTATGCCAATAGTTACATAGAAGTAAAGATTTCAAACGTGAGAACTCTTGGGAAGAGGACTAGGTGGTCCAAATCCATATCAAGGTGCAGATGAGTCATGTCAGATCTTTTCTCTGGCAGCTTTTGATAAGAGGAAGAGACAGAGGTCTCAAGGCACCATAGCTCCTGAGAGTCATAAACCAAGGGAAGGGAGGGGCAGCGGCAAGTCCAGAAGTCAAACTTCGCCAACTTTATAAACTCACCTAGAGTCTGCTTTGGAAAAATGCCTGCACTGCAGTGCTGAATAAATATTTTGACTGGGATCACTGAAATCAAGTCAAACCAAACAAAGTCCCACAGAGAGCAGTTAAAAAGGAAATAGGAGAAACTGGGAAGCCGAGTTGTTTGTTGTTGTGAAATGCCCTCGAGTCGGGTCTGACCCATAGCGACCCTGTATAGGGTTTCCGAGGAGCGACTGGTGAGCTTGAACCGCCAACATTACAGTTCAAACTGACTTTGCAGTACAGCGCATTAACCACAGTGCCACACCAGGAGGCTGAGAGAGGGAGATGATTATGCCAATCTTCAGAAGGGGAGGGGAGTCCCAGGGTGGAGGAAGCAGGAATGTGTTCACTTGCTAACCCAAAAGTTGGAGATTGGAGTTCACCCAGAGGCACCTCAGAAGAAAGACCTGCCAATCTAGTTCTGTGAAAAGTCAGCCATTGAAAACCCTGCAAAGTGCATGCAGTCTCTACCTACTTGATGCCAGTCACAAGCAATCCCACCGCCCTCCTGTTATAACAACCATAAATACCATAAATCTCTTCAGGCAGCGCCCATATCCTGGGGAATAGTATTTCTTTTATCCAATGTTGGGTCTGGCACATACTTAATCGCCACTTGCCCTTGAATCGGTTCCTATTCATGGAGACCCCGTGTGTGTTGGAGTAGAACCTTAGACTTTTCACTGGCTGAGTTTTCAGAAGTAGATGGCCAGAACTTTCTTCCGGGATGCCTCAGGGTGTGTTAGAACAACCAACCTTCCAGTTAGCAGCTGAGCACATTCACATGCACTGTTGGCACCACCCAGGAACTTGTCAACACGTAGTAGTTGTTTGTTGTTAGGTGCTGTTGAGTCGATTCCAGTCCATAGTGACCCTGTACACCACAGAACGAAACTCTGTCTGGTCCTGCACCCTCCTCATAGTTGTTACGCTTGAATCCATTACCTCTGCCACTGTGGTAGTCCATCTCATTGGGGGACACTAGTAAATGGTAACTGGTCCATTGAGATATATAAACAAGGTGGTAAGATTTGTTGAGAATGTTGTTGTTGTGTGCTGTTGAGTCAGTCCCAACTCATAGTGACCCTGTCTAAGGTTTCTGAGGGCAGCTGGTAGGTTTGAACTGCCGACCTTGAGGCTTACCCTGGCAGCATCACGTCTGGGCTCTTGTTGAGGAAATTTTCACCACCTCTTAAAGCTAGTGTTGTGCCCGGCACACAGAAGGCTCAGTTTAGCGTGAATCCCTGAGCACCTGCAGTGTACCAGGTAATTCCCCAGCACTGAAACAGACAGACTCAATTCCAGGCCCTAAGGAGCTCTGGTAGCGTAGTGGTTACGAATCGGGCTGTGAAACTCAGGGTCAGCAGGTCAAAACTACCAGCTGTGCCACGGGAGAAAGATGACACTTTCTGCTCCTGTAAAGATTTACAGCCTTGGAAATCCAGCACAGGGTCGCTATGGGTTGGAACCGACTCCATGGCACATAACAACAACAACAACAACAAGGTGTTCATAAGAGACTTGGTGGTGCAATTTGTTAAGCGCTCCACCCACCCAGTGGCTCAGCCTGAAAAAGACTTGGCAATGGTCTACTCCAATTGAGATCTCAAACCTTCTGGAGTCCAGTTGGTTCCAACTCATAGTGAGGCTGTACAGGGTAGCTGGGGCAGTAGACCTTTAGGGGAGCAGACTGCCTCATCTGTCTCCTGAGGAGTGCCTGGTGGGTTTGAACTGCCAGCCATGCAGTTAGCAGGCCAGTGCTTATCCCACAACAGCCTAGGAAACGCTAGGGGCTGCTCTACTCTGTCACGTGGGGTCTCGCTATGAGTCAGAATCAGAATCGCCATGGCACAAAACACCAGCGCCAGCACGTGTGCGGAGTGCAAAGCGTATGATAAATAAGGACCTTCCACACAGTGCTGGGCACAGTGAAGACGGTGTCGTGATACTGGATGGGGCAGGAGGGTCCTCTCTGAAGAAAACCCACCCACAAATATCAAGACATAAGCTATGCACAGGAGTCCTGGGGGTGCAGAGAATTTGGCACAGGACTGCTAGCCAAAAGGTTGGCGCTATTTTTCTCGGAAATGCCTAGCTTCCAAAATGCCACGTGGTCACTATGAATCGGAACAACTGGATAGCAACAAACAACTACAACACTGTAAGTTTGTTGTGTGTTGGTGGTTGGGCATTGTTGTGATGCTGGAAACTATGCCACCACCGGGATTTCCCATTACAATCGAGTCACCCATGGAAGGAAGGTTTCAGCAGTGTTTTCAGACTAAGACCAACTACAAAGGCCTGGCAACTTTTTTGAAAGCCCTCTGGAGCGTGCATCTGCTCTGCACACGTGGGGTGTCCAGGTACCGAATGGACTCAAAGGCAGCTAACAAGTTATGCGCACATAGACATAAGAACAGAGCTGGGAGGTGAAGGCGGGGTTGGGGAAGTTGGGGGTACAGAGGTGTGTGTTGGGGAGTTCCCTGCACAGAGAGCAGCCTGTGAGGTGGGAATAAGCTTGACTTAAATCAATATGTGTTGAATAAATGAACCATAGAAGATTCTAGAAGGAATTGATTGTGCAGATGTGGCCATGGAGGACTTGGAGGGTGGATAGGAGAATGACAGTTTGGGTGGGGGCAGGGCACTGCTGGCAGAGGGAATGGCCCCTCAAAGACCTAGGTGGTCTTCTTGCTCTAGGTCTGTCCTAGAAGAGGTAGGGCGGAGAAGGAGCCATCCTGGACGCCATCCGGAGACACTGATAGGAAACAATCTGGTAAGTAGGGGAGAGGTCAAGGCAGAGCAGAGGCACCCCAGACTTTGGCCTTTGCCCACAACTAGCACAAGCCCGAGATAATGTCCCTCTCCCTTCCCCCCAGCCCGCCCCGATGTCACTGGCCCTTAACCCTGTCTGTTGGTCCTGCTGGCCAATCAACACCTGGGGGTGGGCTGGGAGCTTGGGAGGACTATTTCAGCATCCTTGGGGTGGGGGTGGCAGAGCCACAGAGAGGAAACTGGGTCCCGGAGCGGTGTGCCTAGAAGAACCGCGCTCATGAATGGGGATTTAGCAGCTTTTGAAAAGGTGAGTCTACCTGGCCCTATAGGAGAAGCACTAGACAACAGGGTCGATTTGAGCTGCAAGTTGGGGTTTCAAACCACCAGCCGCTCCTCCGAAACCCTATACAGGCTTGCTATGAGTTGGAACTGACTTGACAGCACTTAACAACAACCCTCACTGAACAGATGGAAAGGCTGAGGCCCAGAGAGGGAAAGCCCAAAATCTTTCCTCCAGTGCGAGGCGGCTGTCATCCTTCTAGGAGGGGATCTTGGGCAGCCATCAGAAGGCCAGTCCCGTCAGCCTCCTGAGAGTGGACCATGTGGATCTTGTTGCTGCTGGGTACCGTCCAGTTGATTTTGACTCCTACCGACCCCATGTGACAGTGTAAAACTGCCCCGTGGGCACTCATAGGTTGTCAACTTTACAGGAGCAAATTGCCAAATCTTTTACCCTCGGATCTCCTTGGGTGGGTTCGAACCACCAGCCTTTGGGTCAGAAGCCAAGGGCCTAACCTTAACCAGGGCTCATTATGTTGATGAAGCACTTTCCAAAGACACTGGCGCTTTTGTCCTTGGTTCCCCAGACCCTCTCCAGCCCGAAGTAAACATCTGGAGTTAAAGGCACAACAAGGGCCAGTGGTTGGCCTACCTGGGGACTGGCAGGTTCTGAGGGCAGTGGGTACCTGGGAGGGCCTTGTGACCCTCACGCCTGGCACCTCCCCACCTCAGATGGCTTCCCCCGCCTGCCCTCTGGGCCCCATGGACAGCCTGGAGCTGCTGGATCTGCTCTTTGACCAGCAGGATGGCATCTTGAGACACGTTGACTTGGGCGAGAGCTGGGACCACCCTGAGGACCAGGTGAGGCCCCCACTCCAAATGCCCCGGGCAGTGGAAGGAGACCCTGGCAGAACTCTCATTGGTCTGAGAGTTTTCATTGTTGCATTGAACCACTCAGCTCCTCCAATGGGCAGGGAAATGGAGGCCCAGAGAGGGGTGTTAACTTACTCAGGGTCACACAGCAATTTGGAGTTGAGTTCAGATTCAGTCTCAACTCGTGCCTCAATGTAGCGTAGTGACCACCGGCTTGGTATCATAGTCCACTACTTCATTCGAGCTGGCCCTGGGAGAAGGGATTGTGACTTTCATCTGGCAAGAGGGACAACTGAGACGTGTGCAGGGCCACACAGCGAGTCTCAAGTAGAGGGCTCACTCGGCTGGGGATCTCCCTCTTCATTCCTGTCCGCACCCAGCAGGTCCAGCCGGGTCGCAACCAAGATGACTTCCTCACCTCCATCCTGGGTTCTGCCGACTCGGTGCCCAGCTCCCCCCTCTGGTCCCCTGCAGCAAGTGACAGTGGTATTTCTGAAGATATGCCCTCCGATCCCCAAGACACCCCTCCACGGAATGGGCCTGTCACGACGCCTACCAACAGCCACCCTGCTGAGCCTGTCAAGGGGCTGTGCCCCTCTTATGGTCCTGGCCCCCCCGGACCCCAGGAGCTGGTGACTCCTGTGCTTGAGGCCTCTGTGGCCATAGACTTGGGTAAGTTCTACTGTGGGTCTGCCCACCGCTCTCATCCTCTTCAGATACTGGACACACTCATAGCTGCCCTATGAGGTGGGTGCTGTTATGGGCCCATTTTCCAGATGGTATAACTGAGTCCTTGTGAGGTCCAAGTCAGAATCACAGAGCTAGGGTATAACCCAGGCAGACTGGCTAAGCCCCAGGGACTTGTAACACCAGGAGGCAGGGGTATGTCTCTGTCATCTTTCTCCGCCCTCCCCATAACTGGATCATAGTAGATACTCAACAAAAGTGTGTGATGTTTTTTAGTAAATGTGTAGTTAGAAACTCAAGCTGGTGTAGGAAGGAGAATGGGACTATACTCATGAATAAATATAGGGTTGACAAAAGATATTTCTTCATATGTATTTACCTATGAGAAGCACTGGTAGCGTAAGTGGCTTACATATTGGGCTGCTAACTGCAAGGGTTAGCCGTTTGAACCCACCAGCTTCTCTGTGGGAGAAAGGTGAAGCTGTTTGCTCTGCAAAGATTTACAATCTAGGCAGTTATATACTGTGTCCTACAAGGTTGCTGTAGGATGCATTGGGCTGCCAACTGCTAGGGTTGAATTCACCAGCTGCTTTACGGGAGAAACCTGGAGTTGCCATAAAGATTTACAGCTTTGGAAACCCTATACAGGGTCGTTAGGAGTCGGAACCAGATCCACCGGCACCTAACTCATCCAGGGGCAGCAGGAGGGGGAGATGGGAAGTCATTGTTTAGGAAGCCTTAAGCCAAGCAATGTGTGGGTTACATACTGGGCTGCTAATGGCAAAGTTAGCAGTGTGGATCCACCAGTTACCTCGCAGGAGAAAGATGAGGCTCTTTCTCGGAAATGCTAAGCAGGGTCACTGTGAGTCCGAACCAACTGGATAGAAATTAACAACAACAACAAAATGCTACAAATATATCCATGAGGGGGTAAAGTTATGAAAAACCAAAGCAAAAATGATGTGTGATGTCTAGGGGTCCTAGGCCTCAAGGCATCCGCCCTGGAACTGGGAGGAAGACATCCCAGGAGTACAGTCTGTCACCCACAGTGTATCAGGCAGAGTGCCCTGAGCTGGAGACAGGTGGTCCCTGGAACAGCCTTAGTCCCTTGAGGCTTGCATTTGCGGTAGGACCTCTGATTTCATTGTGGTTAATGAGACTGAGATTCAGAGAGGTACAGTGACTTACCCAGGGTCACACAGCTCAGCCCAGGCTGGAGTGTATGCTCTCGAGCTGCCCGCTCTTTTGTCTTTTTAAAATGTTTTATTGTGAATTATGTGATAGTTTACATGGGAGAACATTAGTTTTACATTCATCCTATCGTATATCGTTTCCTTGCCACGGTTACAATCCCCTCCATGCATCATCAACCAACCAAACGGTATACCCTGCAAGCCTGTCCCCCTGGTCGTCAGCACCCTCTCTGGGTCTCTAGTCCCCAGCTGCTCCATTTCTCCACGTCATCATCTCTGCCTCCATCTCAGGCATCACTGCTTCTCTGGGTAGGGTCCCGCTCTCCGCTCTTCTCCCTTGGTGGTCCCAGGGACCTCCGTTGAGCTGCCTACTGTGTACCAGGACTTCTGCTGTGGCTCTGTAATATAAGCACTGGACTACTAACTGCAAGATTAGTGGTTCAAACCCACCAGCTGCTCCTTGAAAACCCTATACAGGATCGCTACCACTCGGAACCAACTCTCTGGCACTTAGCAATAACAACTGTGTACCAGGAGCCCAGGGGAGGGAGTCAGGGGTGAATCAGGCCTGGTCGCTGCCCTGAGGGGGAGATAAGGCTGGCTTCGATAACAGCCACTCCCTCTGGGTTGACAGTAGGTCGGTCCCTTGGCAATGTCCCTGCTCCTCCCTTGACCTTGTGGGATAGAGGGAGACATGCCCTAATGGATTTAGGTTCTTCTTTTACAACTTCAGTGGTGCTGTGGGATAAGCACTGGGCTGCTAACCACAAGGTCAGCAGTTTAAACCCACCAGCAGCTCCATGGGAGACAGATAAACCTCTCTGTTCCCATAAAGATTTACAGCCTCAGAAACCGTGTTTGGAATCCACTCATTGGCAGTGGGTTTGATTTACAGCTGAGGGGAAACGGAGGCATTGATTGGGGTTGTCCCTTTTAGTTCAGAACCTGGGGATGTCAAGTTCTGCTAAAAGGAGGAGAGGAAGGAGGGGAAGCTGGTCGTGCAGGCCTCCCACCTGTCACCCTCTCTGTCTCTCAGACCTGTGGAGCCCGGAAGGATGCCTCTATCCAGAGGAGCAGACTGCACAGGCAGACTCATCTCCACGCTACAACCTGTCGGTGAAAGAACTCCTCCTCTCAGGCAACAGCGGGGACCTGGTGAGTGCCCCACGCCGCAAATCCCTGGCACTGGTGGGGGTTGTGGCGCTCCAATCATGCTCCCATTCCAGAGATAGGAAAACTGAGTCTCAGAGAGGGACAAGACTCCATCCACAGTCACATCCAAAGCAAGTCAGTGGGCAGCAATCCTGGCTTCTCCACCTCCTGGACGAGGGCATTACTGGTAATAGTAGCTGGTGTTGTCAGCTGCCATCGAGTCAGCCCCAACTCAGGGGACCCCGTGTCCTGTGACAGTCTCAGGATCAGTTGGGATCCATAGGGTTTACCCTGGATGATGTTTGGAAGTCAATGGCCAGGCCTTTTTTTCTTAAGTCTGTCCTAGTCTGGAGGGTCAACATTCTAGCAACACGTAAACCTCCACTGAGAGGCAGGTGGTGTCTGCACATGAGTGATACTGGTTGGGAATCGAACCTGGGTCTCTCACATGGAAGGTGAGAACTCCGATGCCCCTTTGGCATGTAGTAGGTACTTAATAAATGGTTGCTGAATGATCAAGCGAGTAAGTTGTCCATATACCATGTTGGATATTTATAAGACCATCTGTAACATCAATTCTTGGAAATAAAATCCCTGGGCCAATGGGGTATACACTGGTTGTTTGGGGTCCTCTTGCCAATGGGGACTGTACCGTGAATTGATTGGTTGTTTCTCCAATCAGATGCTTCCCTTATTTCCAGGAGGCTCAAGGCTGTGGGTCTTCCTCCCTCCAGCTCAGTTACCCTAGTTTCTCCATAGCAACAACATCACCTGACAACCCCGCTGCGGCCTGGACCAGCACACTGCCAGGAGCTGGTGTTGACAGAGGATGAGAAGAAGCTGTTGGCTAAAGAAGGCATCACTCTCCCCACCCAACTGCCCCTCACCAAGGTGAGTTCATGGGGTGCTGGGGGACGAAAGGGGGACATCACCCCCGTTTCCTGTGGCTATCTGCCCACGTGGTTGTTGTTGGGTGCCGTCGATTGGATTCTAACTCATAGCAATTCCATGTGGGGGCAGAGGAGAACGGACCCCATGGGTTTTTCTTGCTATAATCTTTACAGAAAAAAACCCTGGTGGAGCCATAGTTAAGCACTTGACTGCTAATTGAGAGGTTAGTAGTTCAAACCCACCAGAAGCTCTGAGGAGAAAAAACCTGACGAGCTACTTCTATTAAGATTACAGCCGAGAAAACTCTATGGGGACAGTTCTACACTGTCACATGGTGTTGCTTCTAAGTCAGAGCTGAATTTGTAATGGACTCAACAGCCCTCAACAGTCTTCCCAGAAGCAGATGCAGCATGGTGTAGTTGCATGACTGCCCGGTGTGGTAACCAGTCTGGTAACCTGGGGTAGGAGGCTAGGAAGATGATTAGAACCCAGGAGGCTCCTAGAGTCTCTGCCAGAAATTAGGGAGAGGAGAGTTGGTCTATGAATCTTTGGAATCGCTTTCTCCTCCTTGTTCACCTCCACAAACCCATTCCCTGGGTCTGGGACGGCTCACATAGGAAGAGAACGAGATGATGCTGTGAGGTGGAGACCCCAGCCTTCTCTTCATTTCCCTTGGTAGTATGAGGAGAGAGTGCTGAAAAAAATCCGCCGGAAAATTCGGAACAAGCAGTCAGCCCAAGAGAGCAGGAAGAAGAAGAAGGAATATATTGACTGTCTGGAGACTCGGTAATACTGGGCTGGACTCCACCTCAGGGGGCGGGGAGGAGGCGCAGCTGAGCCCAGAGGGAGGAGAGTGATGTGGTGAGCTCACAAGTTGTAAGGTTTCAGCAAACCAGAGTTGTTTTTCTCTAGGAGAGAGCATTTTTTGTATTGATTGCAGTGGGATAGAAAGACGCGAGATGGCACGGGGTGAGGGTTTTGGGGTCCCTTTATCCCTTAGAAAAGGTGGTGCCAAGAAACAACCAGGTATTACCCACCCTGTCTGACTCTGTGCTAGAAGATGGGAGACTTCCTTTGAGCATTAGCTGTCTTCAGCGCTGTCCAGGCTTCTTAGAGTGGAGGGGAGAACAGTGTGGCTGTTTCTCATTCTAGCCAGAACTTTCTCTCCTTAAAAACCGTGCACCCAAATCTTACCCAACCACCTCTCTCTTAACTTACTTAGGATATTGAGGGGACAGGCTCCTCCTCATTCTTAAACAGAAATATAAGAAGTAATCAAGCTCCCTTTGTAAACCAAGAGTGGCTTTACTAAATATTACAGGGCTATTGGGGTCATCCATATCTTCTTGAGTCAGTTTTGGGATGTGATAGTTCGCCGGGAACTTGTCCATTTCAAACTTATTGATGCAAAAATTTTCATAGTGATTTTCAGTCACTTTATAAATCTCTGTGTTCTCTATAATTTTGCCGTTTTTAATTCTTCATGTTGTTTACTTATGCCTTCTGCCTCGTTTACTTTCTTAATCAATCTCTGGAGGTGTTTCTATTTTTAAATTATTTTCAAAGAAAGTATTTCTGCACACACACACCCCCCACTATACTTTTGTTTTCTGGTTTATCTATTTCTACTTTTATCTTTCCTTTGTGTGTTGTTGTTGTTGTTTTGAGGGGGTATTATTATTCTGTTGTTAGTCTGCTAATGTTCAGATGTGTGTGCGCTCAGCTCATTCAACTGCCTGGAGGCTGCATATTGTCCTGTCGGTCCGCTGAGCTGCATTCCACACGATGCTATTTGCACTACTGTCATTACAAGTTGGTCTTCCTATATTCCCCAGTTTAGATTATGAATTCCTTTGTTCCCTTTCTCTCTCTTTTTTGGTAACTTCTTATTTAAACTAAGTGAAGGTTTACAAAGCAGATCATTTTTACATTCAACAATTTACACCCATTTTATTTTATCTCATGGAGTACACACAGCCTCCTCAATGTAACTTCACTTATCCCCTGCCCCAGCCGTCTTCTCTGTCTGTCCTGTTTTCCGCTCCTTTCCTAATCCCTCTGAACCTCATCTCTGGGTAAATACTGCCCTTTCTGTCTCTCTTTTTAGAAGGAGAGTTGTGCAGTGGGGCAGTTTATTCTCTTTCCTGATTGTTATGTGTTTGGCCTACTTTCTGGAAAGTGACCCCAAATCTTTCCTCATCTTCCTGGAGAACAAAGCACCTAATCCCATGTGTTTCCCATAAAAAATATAAAGGCATAGTAGATCCAAGAGTTTTCAGTTTCCAGATGGAGATTTATCTAAAGGTTTCTTGTATGTGGCCCACAGTGGGAGCCTCCGGCCTCACATCTTTGTCTTCTGTGCCCTCTACCTTGAGGGTAGACACCTGGTCATTTGCATACCCCATGCATCTCTTCATTTCCTGATTGGAGCATTTCAGCCCTAACATTTGAAGATTCTAGGTCCAGACCACATTCTGGATGGATGCAGAAGGGAAAGGTGGGGTCCCCAGCTTGGACCCCATAACGTTAGATGGAATGACTCTATTGTCCTGGTTTTCAATGCAATCTACTCTCATATCACTTGTCCAACCACCTGGTGAGCTCAGTCATTGTCTTCCTGATTTACAGATGAGGGAACTGAGGTCAGAGAAGAGGAGTGATTCAAAGTCATAGGGTGGGTTAGGATTGTAACTCCAGTTTCCTTGGATTCCCAGTCACCTTGCTGGTTCATCTTCTGGGACCATTACTGCCTAAGTTTGGCATTCCATTCCCAACCCTAAGCCTCAGACTTGAGTCTCACATCAATGCAGTCTCACATCAATGCAGAAATGGGACCAAGGAACCAGGCAGACCTGAGTTCAAATCCCAGCCCCATCACAATCTTTCTGAGAGAATATGAGCATGTGACTTCCCCTCGATAGGCTGGGTGACAGATATCTTTTGATTGTCTCCGTGACACTGTCTCTGCAGGATGTCTGCCTGCACCGCCCAGAACCAGGAGCTGCAGAGAAAGGTCCTGCATCTTGAGAAGCAGAATCTGTGAGTCTGGGGGCCCTGGAGCCGAGGGCTGGGAGGACCAGCCTGAACATCTCTAACAGGAGACGGGAACAATACGGGGAGAGGCTTATGGGGTCAGGGCAGAGCAGGGAGCCACAGGAAACACTAGGAAAGTGCAAGCTGCATGTTGTGGTAGTTAAATGCCAGCAACTCGCTTCCGACTCATAGCAACCCTGTATAGCGTTTCCAAGGAGCAGCTGATGAGTTTGAACCACCGACCTTGTGGTTCAAATAGACCTCGTGGTCCAGTGCTTTATCCCATAATGCCACACCAGGATTCCTGGAAGCTGCATAGAGGAAGGCATGTGGTCTTGGAGCACTGAAGGATGTGTAGGAGTTTTCTAGGGGGAGTTTGATCCTGGTAGAAGACATGGCATGTTCCAAGGCCCTGAGGCTAGACATGTAACATGTTAGAGAACTGTAAGTGATTCTGTCTCAGAGGTGCATTGATCTAGTCAACATTTATAGCGTATCTTCTCTGCACCAAGAGCCGTTCTGGACATTCTGTGACGAATTTGTTGAAGTTAGTTGGTTGATTCTGATTCATGAGACCCCATGTCTGCAGAGTAGAACAGCTCTATAGGGTATTCAAGATGGTGACATTTCAGAAGACGATTGCCAGACCTTTCTTCTGAGGTGCCTCTGGGTGGATTTGAACTGCCAAGCTTTAGGCTAGTAGTCGAGCACTAACCATTCACGTCACCCAGGACAGTGAACAGAGACATCCATAGCAGTGAACAAAACAGGCCCAGTCCCACCAACTAAAAGAATTTATGATCCAGTGGTAAACATACTCAAGACAAAACTATTTAAAGATCAATCAAATAGTGAAAGACACTTAGAAGACAAAGCAGGGTGCTGGGTCCAGAGAGTGATGGGGTAGGTCAGAGAAGCCTTTGTGGAGGTGGGGACACTTGAGATGAGGCCTGGTGGATAAGAAAGAAACAGCTTCACAACACCTGAGGGAACAGTGTGCTTGACAGAGGGAACAGCCTATGCGAAGGCCTTGCACTAGGGTAACAGTGAGGAGGCTCATGTGGCTGGAACAGAGGAGGAATAGCAGGAGGGCAGGGCAGAGAGGTGATGGGGCAAGTCACAGGAAGCCTTATGGGCCACGAGAAGGACTCGGACTTTTCTTTGGAGTGAAGTGGGCGCCCTGGTGCTGTGGGAGGGGAAGAGGAGCCAAATCACATTTACAAAGTACCCACTGGCTGCTTTGTGGAGTATGAACTCTAGGGGGCAGCAGAAGCCAAAGGTGGGTGGGCATAGAGTGTCCAGTTGGTCTAAACGTTGGAAGCTGGAGTGGAAGAAAAGTGGGTGGGATGCCCAATGAAGATGTGTGGAAGCAACCAGGTGGGAGGGAGGAGGTGGAATTCAGACATCAGAGAAGCTGAGGTGGGGCTAGGGTAGTTCCCGGAACTGAGCAGGAAGCTGGACCAAAGCCCTGAGAGCTCAGCTGAGGCCTTCCTGTCCCTTCAAGGTCCCTCTTGCAGCAGCTGAAGAAACTCCAAGCCTTGGTGGTCCAGTCCACCAGCAAGTCTGCCCAGACAGGCACTTGCATAGTGGTGAGTCCCAACCCCCAATCCAGCGCACCCAGGACAGAGGGAGGTCCCAGAGCTGGGCGGAGCAGGAAGGGGACTTGGGTAGAAACACAGCCTCACCCAGAGCTCAGCCTGGTCTGAGTTTCCCTGCCTAGGATAGTATGCTCACAGGGCAGGGGCAGGGATAGGGTGACCCCGCCCCCATCTCCGCCAGGTCCTGCTGCTCTCCTTTGCCCTCATCGTCCTCCCCTCCATCAGCCCTTTCACCCCCAACAAAGCCAAGAGTGCCGGGGACTTCGCACCCATGCGAGGTACGTGGGCCTGGGACACCCCACTCTGGGGGAGAAGGAGGAGGGAACCCTTGTCTCACCGTGCTTGGTGCTTGAGGGTGGGGGAAGAGGGGCAGGGCAGCTCCCCATCCTGCTCCTTGTGACCCCCTCAAACCTCTCCCAGTCTTCTCCAGAACACTGCACAACGTCGCCACTTACCGCGTGGCCCCAGACACCGCGTCAGGCTCCGAGGCCCGGGGGCCCCGATCGGAGGCCGGCACACTCCAAGAAGGGTCTCCAGGCAAACCCAGGGCAAACTCAGGCTCCAAGGACACACCAGCGCTGGACAGCTCGACAACGATTCAGGACAACTCGACGAAAATGCTGGACAACTCCACCGCAACACCACACAACTCGACGCTGGTGCTGGACGGCATGACAGCAATGTTGGACAGTTCGATGGCCATACTGGACAACACGTTGGGCCTGGACAACTGGAAGGAGGTGCTGCTGGGCCTGGCTGCCCTGCTGGGCTGGGCCACGTCTGAAACAGGGCCCAGCCCAGGGTGCATGGGGCTGGAGGCAGCGGGGGAGGAGTTATGATCACTGCCTGGACTGTGGCTTACACCCCTCTGCCCAGTGGCCTGCAGTGGACAGCAACAGGCACTGGACCAGAGGTGAGGCAGAGACTACAGCAGAGACGCCTGGATTGGGATATCAACCTAACAGTTGCACACAGCAATTTATATACAGATACAGGGTAAAAGCTATGCCTGAGACATGGGCCAACACACCCAGGAACAGAGAGACAGCCACACACTGTGGACTGAGCCACAGATGCAAGCACACACTCACACAGACATACACAGATTATTACACACACAGAAACAGTTATCTACTCTCACACACACACACTAATAGGCACACTCACCGACACACACACACTCACGGACACACAATGATATATTCAGTCAGACACACAGATATACACAGACACAGACAGTTATACACACACACAATTACACATTCACAAAGACACACACAGACACATAGACATAACACTAACAGATACACACACATACACTCACACACAGAAACACATAGACCCAGACATACGTGCACAGTCACATTCAGACCCCTCCACATGTATATCCATACAGGCACAGATACACACATCAACACACACACACACCATACATACACCCACATTAAATACCTTGGCGATGCTTCCCCCACCCTTCTCTAACACACACACCCACACACACAGGAAGTAATTGAGACTGCAGGGAGCCAGACCCTGGAGTGGAGAATTGACCCACAACCGCCGCCTTTTTATAAGACTGCCGTGACCCCTAATAAAGTATTTTGACAGAATGTGACTGGAGCTGAAGCGGGGAGGGGCAAGGGCACCCAGCCTCAGAAGGAGGGGCTGGACTAGCCCGGGATAGGGGAGCGAGAGAGCGGGATACAGTCTGTAGCGGCTGAGCTGGAGTAACTTCAGAACCTTGGAGAGCAACCGCGGGCGGAGAGCAGGCTGTAACTGAAGCGTGAGGCCCAGCGGCTGGAGGGAATGTCCCCAGGAGACCCCTCAAATTGAGGGGTGCCTGTGGTGAGGTTGATGCAACTGCCTTTCTGGGGGGCCTGAGCAGCCCACCCTGCTTGTTTTAGGTAAGAACTGAGGCGTGGAAAGGGATGGAGCCATTCTGCATTCTTTGTTGTTAAGTGCCATGGAGTCAGTTTTAACTCAAAGAGACCCTGTATACGGTTGGTTTCCATGGAGCAACTGGTGGGTTTGAACCACCTACCTTGCAGTTAGCAGTCCAGTGCTTATCCTACAGTGTCACACCAAAAACTTTTTTAAATTGCTGCTGTTACTGAGAATGTGCACAGAATAGATAACCACTAAATAATTTCTACGTGTGCAATTCAGTGCCATGGAAACCTTTCTTTGAGTTGTTCAGCCGTCATCACCCTCCTTTGTCTAGTTCTTCCTCTGCCATGAACATAAGCTCACTGCCCCCTAAACTTCCTAGCAAACCTTTTGAGTTGCTGTAAATAGTGCTTCAAAAAGGTACAATACCTTTTTGTTTGGTTTAAAGTCAACTTCGGGGGATATTTTTGGTATGGTGGTGGTGCTTATGTGCCGTGGAGTTGGTTCCGACTCATAGCGACCCTGTACAGGGTTTAAGATTAGAAAGTGATCTCAGGGCAATAATTTTTTTTGGGGGGGTACCCAGGCTCCATGAATCCAGAAAGTCTGGATTCCATGAAAATTTGAAATTCTGTTCTGTTTTCTCCCTTTTGATCAGGATTATTCTACAGAATCACTGATCCAAATATTCAGTAACGGTAGACAGGTACCACCCAGTTCTGGTCTCTTGGCAAAGGAGGCAGTTGTTTGTGGATGGGCTATGGTCTTAATGCATCATTTGCCTGCCTGCTATGCACAGGTGTGTCCAAAACAGACCCGGCCTCTCCCAAGGGGCTCACAATCTAGTTAACGGAGGGAAGGCAGATGTCAACGAAGAAACCAGAAAAATACGAAGGTAAGTCCAAAGGTATTTTAGAGTTCAGTTCATACAGGCACCAGTTTGTTCCAAGTAAGATATGTTTAAACCTATCTCTGGAGTCCTGGTGTGGCATTGTGGGTTAATGTGCTGGACTGCAAAACTGGCTTGAACTGCAAGGTCGGTGGTTCAAGTTCACCATTGGCTCCTTGGAAACTCTGTACAGGGTCGCTATAGGTCAGAATCGACTCGACGGCACTTCACAATAAACCTATCTCTGTGAACAGTGGGTGGCTACAGACAGATTCTCTTAATTAGACACTTGTTGTGGTCTCTGTTAAGTGCCATCAACTCCGGTTCCGGCTCATAGCAATGCTGTATAGGAGTTCCAAGGGGCGGCTGGTGAGTTTGAATCACCCACCGACCTTGTGATTCAAACCGACCTTACAGTCCAGTGCTTATCTTACAGTGCCACACCAGGACTGTTTTGCTAGGGGACAAATTAAAAGTCCAGTTAAAACAGTGGCTTCAGAGGGGATCTGTTGAACCAGTTCAATTCAAGGCCGAGAGGTCGGTTCAGAAGGTTATTGCAACTGTCTGGGAGATTCTCAAGGGGTAATGGTGACAGATTTTCTCAAAGGACATAGGATGATCACAAGGATTTTATTTAAAAATTTTAATTACATTGCTGAGAAAAAGATGAAGAAAGTTGCACTTTCTTTTTTTTTTTTATGTTTTTCCCATTATGACAAATGTATCTGCTCATCCTTTGATGGCAGCAAGGGCTATCCTATAAGAATTCCATTGGGAAAACTTACCCCATCCACCCTACAGCCCTGATCTTATCCCATCAGATTTTTGTTGTCAATTGAACATTGAGAAGGAGCACAATTTGAGTCTCTTCAGGATGCCAACACTTCCGTTTTGATTTGGTCCACTGAATAGCACAGAATTCTTAAGGGTTGTTGTTGTTAGGTGCCATCGAGTCAGTACCAACCCACAGTGACCTTATGCACAGCAGAACAAAACACTGCCCGATCCTGGGCCAACCTCACTATTGTTGCCATGCTTGAGTCCATCGATGCTGCCACTTGGCCAATCCATCTCCTTGGGGGGTCTTCCTATTTTTCTCTGGCCCTCCACCTTAGCAAACATGATATCCTTCTCCAGCGACTGGTCCCTCCTGACAATGTCTGAAGGATGAGAGACGAATTTTGGCCATCCTGGACTCCAAGGAGCACTCTTAGAGAGGCAGACACACTGCCTCCAGAAATGTATAGACCTAGATCGGGGGTGGGGAACATCCTGCCTGCCAGCCAGCCAGCTGTATTAAGGCCTACAAAATTATTTGGTCTGGACTTACCAAGGCAACTGCAGTTCCAGTCATCACCTTAAGTGCCATCAAGTTGATTCCAACCTATAGCGACCCTGTGTAGGGTTTCCGAAGAGCAGCTGGTGGATTCAAACTGCCAACTCTGTGGTTCAAACTGACCTTGCAGTCCAGTGCATCATACTGCAGCGCCACATCCGGACTCCCATCACATTAGCAGTGAAGTTAATTAAACGCTTGACCAAATATGGCAGGAGAATTTTTAAGTCGATAATTTTGTATGGCCCGCAAATGATGTTATAAATTTTGGCAGAAAAAAGGTTCCCCACCCCTGACCTAGATGGAGCATGTGTTGAAAAATAATAGTTTCCCATTTTGACAGTTTTGCTTAATAAAAGTCTCAATGGTTGTGTAGCAATACTTTTGAACTGACCCTTGCAATTCTGAGGGGGCTTCAAAAAGTTCATGGACAAGTTCCATTACCTTTTGATTCTAGTTTTCCACAAGCTTTTTGAAGTACCCTCTGTTCCCCTACAAACAGTGGACTTGAGGGATGCCAGCGGCTGGCATTACTGGTACTATCAACAGCGCTCCTGATTCTTCCTTCGCCCTAGGTTGTAGGATTGCATTAAGAGCAGGGGCAGTGCGAACCACATGACACTGTCCCCTGTCCCCTCCAATATGAGATCCTGGATATTAAACACCAACTCGACCGCAAGAAGTTAGTTCTGCTTTTATTGCATTGACAATTTTTTCGGAGCCTAGAGGGAACCGGGTGGTCTTCCTCTGGCTCCTAAGGCAGAGGAGCCCCTATAGTCCATCCCCCTGGGCCCCCAAAGGGTGGCTGTGTCTCCTGTCCCCTTGAGGGTCTGTGAACGCCTTGAGGAAGTGGACCAAGGAAGGAGCTGAGGGTGGTGATGTTACTAAGAGGCCCAGGGAGTGAGGGGAGTCCATCCTTGTTCAGGGTGGAAATCGGGCCTGGCCGACCACCATCTCCCTAGATTGTCCCGAGGCTCCCAGGGAGGAGCCGCTGCTTCCCAGACCCTCCCAGAGGCTCCCTGAGCCAAAGGGAGCTACAGTGGAGAGTTCTCAGCCCAGGGCCTGGAGCCCAGCTCACCGCGTCTGTGTCCCAAGAGGCAAGATACACGTAATAAAGTGAGACCAGTAAGAAAAAAAAGAGAAGCCCGTTTTTTACAAAAAGTAGCCCCCTCCCCAAGCACCCTGGTCAGCTGGGGATCCCCTCTGCCTTCACCTTTTTTGGGGGAGCGCAGAGGGCAGGCGTATCTGGCCGCTGCCGCTTGGGGATGGTGAGCCCGGAGCCGTTATGTTGGGATGGGGGTTCCTGCTTGGGGCTGGGAGGCGCTGAGTTTTTGAGTTGGGAGGGAATCTCCTCCTTGGGCTCAACCTTAGGGCGGAGGGGCCGGGGCAGGGGCGGCAGCGCCCTCTCCAGCACTTGGGGGCCTTCCCAGGAGGGGATCTCCAGTCCCAAGTGCTTCATGAGCTGCGTCATGACGTCATCGACGTAGCCGTGGATGCATAGGTCAGCCTGGCGATCCTGTAGGGTTAGGGACAAGTCAGAGTGTAATGGGATGGAGTTGGGCCTGAGGGTGAGGGGTGGGTGGACTTGGGCACCTACATGTTTGGTGGGCTGGAGGTTGACGATGACTAGTCGGCCTCCGCGGCGCTTGGTGGCCAGTGGCAAATTCCCGCTGGGCCGGATTTGCAGTGAGGTGCCCAGGGTGATGGACAGGTCGGCGTTCCTGGGGTCAGGAACAAGGGGCTTAGTCTGAACGACCCGCCCCACAAGTTCACAACAGCACCCTCCTGCCCGCCAACTTGGCGGGCCTGGGATGCCCCTAGCTCAGGCCCCACTGCTTCCCACCCGTTTTTATGCTAACCATAAGACGGAAGTTCAAACCCATCACCCACTCGGAGGAGACAGATGAGGCTTTCCGTTTTCCTTAAAGACTGGCAACCTCAAAAGTCAGAACTAAGTTGATGAGAGCGCCTTTGTTTTGGCTCGGGGATGTGCCCCGTCCCCATCCTGTGGATAGAAATGGAGGCCTTGCTGTGGGCGGGGCCTTTGCTCCTGTAGAATTCAGAGTGCCTGTTCACCTGGCTTGGTCACTTCCTGACTGGAATATACTTGTTGTTAAGTACCTTAGAGTCAATTCTGACTCAAGGCGACACTGAGCAGCCATTACCTAACTAAGCCTCAGTTTTCCCACCTGTGGACTGGGCCTAGTAGAGCCCCCAACCTGGGCTGTAGTGAGGAGTGTGCGTGTGAAACTCCTGGTACAGGGCCGGGTGCGTGAAGGGGCTCAAAACTGTCATTTTATCAGGGTAGTGGTGACTCAGAGCTACAATTCTCCTCCTCCACATAGGTGACCCGGGTTTGATTCTCCCCAATGCACCTCATGCAGAGCCACCACCCGTATGTCAGTGGAGACCTGCATGTTGCTAGGATGCTGAACAGGTTTCAGCAGATTTTCTAGATTATGAGAGATGAGGAAGAAAGGCCTGGGGATTAACTTCAGCCCATGAAAACTCTATGGCTCACAGTGGTCCGATCCCCAACCAATCGTGGGAACAGTGCAGGCTCAGCCAGTGTGACCTTCTGCTGTGCACGGGGCCTGTCTCAATGGTAGCCAGCCACAATGACAGCGTTTCCTACGGGGAAGCTACGGCCCAGCAAGGGCCACCTCTTCCAGGCAGTCCTTGGTTGCTGCGTTGGCCACTAGCTGTGTCTTCTGCTCTGTGCTCGAGTTGGCTGTTTCTGCCTGTTCTCCTACCTGTCTCAGCCCTGGCTCGTCAGAGGTAGGACGGCTTGGGGATCACACCTGCTAGCTTCGTCAGCGAGGGTGAGGTCCCGGTCCGGCAGGGCATCCTCCCAGTCCAGAATGGTGTCTCTCAGTACCCCCCTGCAGTGTTGAGGATGAGAGGACTCAGTAGGACTCCTACCAGGGGTCCATGCATGACTCAGGGTGGGGGGGCAGGGAGAGACCACTCACCTACAGGCCCGAAGTCCCCTGGCCTTGGCCACGGTGCAGAGCCGTCCAGTGGCCTTGAGGCCCATGCTGCCTACAACTGTGTCCCGGACATACTGCCTGTATGGGGAAAGGGGGCGGTGATAAAGGGTGGTCACTACAACCACGCCCCCCAGCTCGCCTCCCCCCAACCCTAAGGCCCTTGCTCCCTTTTCAAAGATGTGTGAACTGGGATCACACAACCAGATGTTCAGCTGGAGGAGATTTCCAGAAAGGCTAGAATGAGCAGCCTTCCGCCTTCCATGGAACTGGCCACATCTGGGGAGGTAAAGGCAGGGAGGAAACTGTTCCACACATAGGAGACTGCACAGTGCCCACAAAGCTTAACCCTGATTTCAGTCCTGGACCAGGCAAACAGAGCTGGAAATGAAGTGGTAACAGCCGCATGGGAATACAGACGCAGAGTACTGGCAGTAGGTGCTGAATGCAGACCCCAGGAGCCAATGAGGGTGTGACATGGTTTTCGTAACTGTCATGAGGGTAATAGGGAGCCCTGGTTAGCACTCAGCTGCTAACTCCAATGTGGGTTCAAACCCACCCAGAGGCTCCTCGGAAGAAAGACCTGGTGATCAGCTTCAACAAAGATGATAATTAGGAAGACCCTATCGGCCAGTTCTGCTGTTACATGGGGTCCAACTCAATGGCACCTCATAGAAACAACCCTGGGGATGTGGGCGAGAATGTTCTAGCTCCCAGGAGACACACTCTCAAGGATTTAGGAGCAGAAGGTTATGTAAGTAAGTTATGTAGAATAAGAGAATAAGTCTGCAACTTACTCTAAAGGTGCAGCCCCGACACTCCTAGCAAACAAAGAGACGGGAGAAACACTGACTGGCAAAATGCTAGCAATTGGTGAATCCAGGTCAGAGGCTGGCAAACTATGCCCAGATGCTCTGGCCCCCAGCCTGGCTGTGTAAATAAAGTTTTATTGACACACAGCCATGTCCATTCCTTTCCATATCGTCTGACTGCTTTCTCTAGCAGCGAGAGCAGAGGTGAGTAGAGTTGCGCAGGGGGATCTGCAGAAAACAGCTGTCTGGCTCGTTACCAAGATGGCTGACCCAGGGATTCCGAGTACATTGTAAGGTTTTGGTGACTTTTTTTCTTATTATTAGATTTGGAATTTTTCAAAAGAAATGTAGAGGATAAATACTTTTTAAAAAGTGGGGATCCTATCTGGGGTCCAGTCTCAGGGATGCCACCGGCAGGCAGGGTGAGGGGGGTGCATGCCCATCCCCAGATTGAGGGGGAACAGGGGTGTGTCCAGACACTACCTGCTTCAGGGAAGGGCTCTGGTTCCGCCTTCCCTAAGTGGGGGGTCATACCCTAGACACAACTCAGGAAAGTCACACCCTGGTCTGCCCTTAAGACGGCCCCCCCAGGAGAGCCACACCTCTATGCCCCCATAAGTATATCACTCTAATCCCTCTATCCCAAGGAGAGGCATGCCCTATACTCTCCCAAACGGTCAAACCCATTGTCCCCACAGGCAATAACAGGTTTTGGGTCTCAGAGGACATTGGCCCCAACTTAAAGGCCCTTCTGCAGAGCCCAAGCTGAAGTGGGGGGGCACACTTCTGTCAGCCTGGCACCCACCACACTGCACCCCAGCTGCACTCACGTCTTACACTTGAGGCATTCTTCTACAAACATGTTCCCGTGCAGCTCCGCCAGCTTATCCCTGAGGAAGGAGGAGGAGGAGGAGAAGCTGGGTGGCGAGGGGCCCCGGGCAGTACTGCAGGGCCAGGATGAAGGCCTCCTGCAGGAAGCTTTGCTGAGACCCACGAGGGTTCCAGGAGTTCCACTCTCCCCAAGGATGAGGTGAGGGAGGGACTCAGCAGAAACCTCCTCGGGCCAGCAGAAAGAGATCAGGGGCCCCTATTTGTGGGTTCCAGGAGTTCCAACTCTAAGCACCCCAGCCCAGATCTCTCTTGGTTCGGCCTAAGGGGAGGCAAGCCAGGGGCAGTAACAGAGACAAGTGCTTCTCCCCCGCGGCCCCATCAACCCCATTTTACAGATGAGAAAGCTGAGGCTCAGGGAGCTCTAAGGTGGGGTGGAGTGGGACAGGGCTTACCTGGGGAAGCCGGAGCGCACGTGCAGCCCGTCCACATTCTGGCTGACCAGGAAGTGGAGCATCCCCACCCGCTCCAGCTGTACCAGTGCCATGTGGGTCTGTGAGGGCCGAGCGCTCTCGAAGGTGGTGTCGAACTTGGGGGCCAGGCCCCGCTCCTCCATTGTCCAGACGCCATGTGGGCCTCTAGCAATGGCAGGTGGGGAGAGACACAAGAGGGAGAGTTTGGGGGCCCAGAGAGAGAGAAGCGGGCCAGAGAAACAGAGACAGAGAGTTTGAGGGACCAGAAAAAGGAAGACAGAAAATGAGACATGAAGAGAGACCAAAACAGTCAAAGAAACCGAGAAAGATGAGGGGGATTAATTTGGGGGAACAGAGAAAAGAAGGGGGCAGAAAAGGAATCAGTGAGACAAACACCCAATGACAGAAACTGAAGGAAAGAAATGTTGTTGTTGTTATGTGCCGTGGAGTCGGTTCCGACTCATAGCGACCCTGTACAGGGTTTCCAGGGCTGTAAATCTTTACGGGAGCAGAAAGCCTCATCTTTCTCCCACGGAATGGCTGGTAATTTCGAACTTCCGACCTTGACGTTAGCAGCCTGATTCGTAACCACTAGGCGACCAGAGTGCCTTCTCGTCCTCATTAACTGGTGTGGAAACAGAAGCCCAGAGAGGTTAAGCCACTGGCCTGAGGCTAGTGATCCCAGGCCCTATAGGAAAATGTTTGCAAGTGAGCATGGGGATAATCGGAGTCCTGGTGTGGCACTGTTGGTTAATGCGCCAGACTGCAAAGCCATTTGAACTGCAAGGTCGGAGGTTCAAGCTCACTAGCTGCTCCTCAGAAACCCTATACAGGGTTGCTATGGGTCAGAACCGACTCGATGGCACTTAACAACAACAATGATGGGGATAATTAGGAGTCCTGGTGTGGTGCTGTGGGTTAATGCGTCAGACTGCAAAGTCATTTGAAATGCAAGGTCATCGGTGGTTCAAGCTCACCAGCTGCTCCTCGGAAACCCTATAGAGGGCCACTATGGGTCAGAACCAACTTGACGGCACTTAACAACAACAACAACTTGGGGATGATTGTTCCCTGGTATCGATTCCTCCCCACCCCCATCTTCCATAGTAATAAAATCAATTAACTCTGAGTCAACTGATTCAAAATGACCGTGTGTGTGTCACAACTGTGCTCCACAGAGCTTTAAAAAATGTTCTGAAATAATATTTTATTGTATTTTCAATGAAGGTTTAAACAGCAGTTAAGGTTAGGTCCTATTCAACAATTCCCACAGGGTTTCCAAAGGCTGATTTTCAGACGTAGATGGCCAGGCCTTTTTTCCAAACCTTTCTGTCAGCATCATCTAAGGACCCCTCTATGGTATGCCAGGAACCACTGAGTTGATTTCAACTATAGCGACCCTATATGAGAGAGCTGTGCCAAAGGTTTTTCTTGGCTGTAATCTTTTTGGGAGCAGATCACCAGGTCTCTTCTCCCATAGAGCTGTGGTGGGTTAGACCCACCAACCTTTTGGCTGGTTAGCGGCCAAGTACTAACCTAGGGTGGCTAAAGACTACATTTCCCAGCACCCCTTGCAGCTACATTGGATCACGTGACCCAGGAGATGCAAGTGGGCATGACTTATGGGGTATGTCTGAAAGGAAGAGGTTATCCTCTCCACATGCTCCTAACCCCCAAGGAGACAGATGGCCCATGAGGACCCAGGAAGGGGACAGACAGTAGGAAGTATCCAGATGCGTAGGCATCTATGAGCTGGTGGGAGATGCCTGTGAGGGACCCTGCCTCCACCTCCCCACCAAGCCCACAGACCTGAAGTCGGGGATGCCTGAGGCAGTGCTGATGCCAGCGCCCGTGTGGAAGACCACGTTGGAGGACTCCCAGACCAGCTGTGCCAGCGCCCACACCTTCTGCTCCAACTCCTCTGGGGGGTCGAAGATCTGTTGGAAGAAAGTGAAAGGGAGGGGTCCAAATGTGTCCTACAAGTACGGAGACCAAGGGCCACAGAAGGGCTGCTCTGCCGTGCTCAGAGGAAGGAAGAAGGGCTGGAAGGCAGCTTATCTTGGAGTCCCTGCCCTGACTATAGCCCACTGTGGCTCCCATAGTGTTTGGTGCCATCAAGTCAGTTCCCAGCCCTGAGCCACCCTCACAAGAGATGGTTACATTTGCACCCATCATGGCAGTTACTGTGTTGATCCAACTCCTTGGGGGTGGAGGGGGTCTTCCTCTCTTTTGCTGATCCTTCACTTTACCAAGCATGATGTCTTCTCCAGGGACTGGATCCTTCCTGATCCACGTTTGAAGTATCTGAGACAAAGGCTTGCCATCCTGGCTTCTAAGGAGCATTCTGGTGTTGCGCTTCTTCTAAGACAGATTTGTTCATTCTTCCAGCAGCTCAGTATTCAATATCCTTCGCCAACACCATCATTCAAATGTGTCATTCTTCTCTGGCCTTACTTACTCATTATCCAGCTTATGCATCCTACATCACTGGAGAAAGACCCAAGCCCATCTTTTCCAATCCGCTTCCCGCTCTACCCTTTTCTAGTTCCCTCCAGCCACCTTGCTGTTTCTCCAACTCACCAGGCCCAGTCCTGCCCCAGGGCCTTTGCACAGGTTGTTCAATCTGCCTGGAATGCTCTTCCCTCCAGCTCCTCCTCAGCCTCCGAGTCTCAGCTCAGATATCCTCGCCTCCATAAACCTCTGACTTCCTTGCACAGATCACTGCTATTTCCTCCCTGTTCCTCTCCGGCTGGCTTGTTCACTCTGCCCCAGTCACGTGGGCCTCCTCACTGAGCCTCCAACTCCCCAGGCCTGGTCCTGCCTCGAGGCATGAACTATTCCCTCTACCTGGAATGTTCTCCCTCCAGGTCTCTGCATGGTTTACTCCCTAACCTCCATCAGTTATCTTCCCCAGGAGGCCTCTCTGATCACCTATTTCAATGCCACCTTGCCCTCTACACTCAGCTCTCCTTATCCAACTGAACACACCATATGCTCTTCAGGAGATGAAGCTGTCTTCTTCCGTAAAGATTTACAGCCTCAGAAATCCTAGGGAACAGTTCTGTTCTATCCTATATGGTTGCTATGAGGAGCCCCGATAATGTAATGGGTTACATTAGGCTGTGAATCACAAAGTTAGCAGTTCGACTCTACCAGCTGCTCGGTAGGAGAAAGATAAGGTTTTCTGCTCCCGTAAAGATTTACAGCCTTGGAAACCCTATACAGGGTCGCTATGAGTCGGAACCGACTCCACGGCACATAACCACCATCACCAACCATAGTGTTGCTCAGAGTCGGAATCAATTTGACAACAGTGGCTCATAGCTCTTATTATTATTGTTATGTGCTGTGGAGTCGGTTCCGAACCTGTACAGGGTTTCCGAGGCTGTAAATCTTTACAGGAACAGAAAGCCTCCTCTTTCTCCTGCAGAACAGCTGGTAGGTTCGAACTGCTGTCCCTGAGGTTGGCAGCCGATTCTTAACCACTATGCTACCAGAGCTCCTTTTATAGCTCTTACCACTGACTTATCATATTCATTGGCTTGTCTGTCTCCCCGAGTAGAATGGGTAGGGTGGTTTTGTCACTCTATTCCCTGCTGTATCCCCAATGCCTACAAAGTATCTGGTACATTTGTTGTTGTTAAGTACTGTGGAGTCGGTTCTGACTCATAGCGACCCTGTACAGGGTTTCCGAGGTTGTAAATCTTTACAGGAGTAGAAAGCCTCATCTTTCTCCCGCGGAACAGCTGGTAGTTTTGAACTGCCGACCTTGAGGTTAGCAGCCCGATTCGTAACCACTACGCTACCAGAGCATTGGCAACCCATGTGGGCCAGAGTAGAGCTGAGGCCCCATTAAGACTTCCAGTAACTGATTTTGGGGGAAGTAGATTGCCAAATCTTTCTTCCAAGGTGCTTCTGGGTGGATTCAAACCTCCATCCTTCCAGCTAGCAGCTTGAGCACATTCACCATTTGCAAAACTCATGGTATACAGCAGGTGCTCAATAAATGTGGAATAAGATGATGACTAAGACGCGCAGTAAAGACAGGGGCTTCAGGAGAGATTCACATCAGTTGAGAGTATCTGGGCCAGCTTTGATGAGATGGGGGTCATACTGCCCCCCAGCTTACAGAAAAGGGGATGGAAGCCCAGAAAGGAAGTGACTCGCCTAAGGTCCCTCGGTGGGAGGAGGGGACCATGTCCTCCTGGAGTGGCTGGAAGGGCCTTTCAGACACTACTTACATCTGTGCTGGTCCCTTTCCAGCTCCAAACCTTTCCCCATCACCCTCAGATTAGTGTCAATTCCCCAGTCTGCCCCTTGAGGCCCGTCCTGGCCGGGATCTGAAGATCTCTTTGGCCTCATCATTTCTTCAAGCGTGTTTATTCCCACCTCCCTGCCTTGGTCCCTGCCGTTACTTCCTCTTGGAACTATGTCCCCTCCACTCCCACCAGCCTTCAGGCCTTCCACGACCTCAGTCCTAACCCGAAAGACCCAGAGCTGTGCGTGGACGTGTCTCCGGGTACGCAGGGGTCGTCACTTCCCGCCCCCTCCTCCCTGGGAAGTCCCTCCCATTGTCTAACTTCAGTGCCTCCTGATACTCCCATAATGCGCCGCTCCCAGCCGGCCCTTCCCAGTCTGCGGTCCCGGGGGTGGCCTCCGAGACCCCGGGCCGCGCTCACCTCGGGGAGGCCGCACTTGCCCTTGTCCGCATACGGCGACAGACCCGCCGCGTAATTCACCGACATCCTCCCCTCCACAAATGGAACAATAAAGTTTCCCTTGTTGAGGCCGCTTCCGTCGGAAATGGGACGGGGCGGAAGAAGGAGCCGCGTCCGACTCATGGTTTACGCGCCCGGCTTCTTCCTCCAAAGCGCATGCGCCTGCTGCAGACTCCACGGGCGCCATCTTAAGTGCTGGCAGGAGGGTGTCTCTACTTTCTTGTCTACACCTGCTAGGGTGGGAAAAGTGTTCCCTAGTTTGGGTCGGCCTCTCACGTGAGACTTCTCCATTCATTTCTAGAATGAGGTGCCTAAGCGATCAATGCCTCCTTTTCTTACTTTATAAATGAGAAAATTGATGTCCCTTTCGCTCCGAGTGAAGACAGTCAGGAGGTCAGGGGCCTAGCCCCGATCTTTACTGAAGTTTCACATGCAGGGTTAACAACAACAGAAACCAAATCCACTGCCATCAAGTCAATCCCAACTCATAGAGACCCTCTAGGACAAACTGCTCCTTAAGATTAACAAGACGAAACCTTAACCTGAGCAGACACCTCATCTTTCTCCTGCGAAACGCAGAGCAGGAAAGAGAAAGCGCTCAAGATGATTGACGTAGAGGCCTTGAGTAGCATGTTGAGTAGCTGGTGTATTCTGGGGAAGACCCTGGAGACCAAAAACACGCTTCTCTAATTTCATGGTTAAGGATGGGCACAGGCCTATGGCAAAAGTGTTACTGTGTACTTTGGGGAACACGAGGGCACAGAGCAATGAGGAAGTTCGGAAGTAGCATCCCTGGAGGGCTTCCTGAAGGAGGGGAAGTTGCAGCAAAGACATCAGGAGTATCTGTGAAATGGTGAATGAACAGGTTGGAGCTGATAGGGGCTTTCAGAAAGAAGACTCCAAAGGCTGAGGGGAGAGGGGCAGCAAGATCGTGACTTTTTCCAGAAACTTCCACTGATGATGGGAAGAGAATGGGTGTCTTCCCGCCAGAGCCCGTTGGCCAACGGGCAGCCCCACAGCCAGCCTGTCTCCTCCCTTGGTTCAACCCTGGCCCCCTGGGACTGCCGCCTGCTCAGAGCTGATCAGGTGTCAGAACTGAGCGCCCAGAGCTGCTGGTGCGAGCTCACCACGCATCTGGGAGCGTGTAATTGGAGTCAGCAGCCCACACTGGGCCTGGTGCTGGGGCGCTGGAGCTGCAGGAGGTAGGTGAGGGAGACCTGGGATGGAAGCTCCCCCCAGGACTCAGGGTCCATACCCCTGAGCCCTGCAGTGTGGGTGAGAAAGGAGACAAGTAGTGTGTCCAAGCCATGCTGAGGAGCTGCCCAAGCTCCAGATACACACACATTCAGGCACGTACTGCCCACTCCAGCCTATGCCCAGTCTAGTACAACCCCATTCTACTGCTGATGCCTAATCTTTCCGGCCGGCCATCAGACCCTACTTTCTATCAGGAAGCAACTTCTAGGTGAAGGGACTCCTCCCCACCTAGCCCATACCTTCCCTCCCATTCCTTTCCTAGTCTGGAAAGACAATCAAAAGACATTCTAGGCAGAGATAACAGCAAAGAAATGTGGAGTTCTGTCCTATACTCAGGAGTAGAAAAGAGAATGAGGGTGGGGATACACGATTGGTGAAGCAGCGAAGGAATGGGTGGGTGGCTATGTGGCGGCTTGGTGAATGGGTGGGTATCAGAGTGGTGGATGGTTGGGTTGGCAGATGGTTAGATGGATGATTGGGCAGATGGTAGAAGAAGCATGGTGGTGGTGGTTATGTGCCGTGGAGTCGGTTCTGACTCATAGCAACACTGTACAAGGTTTCCGAGGCTGTAAATCTTTATGGGAGCAGAAAGCCTCATTTTTCTCCCGTGAACAGCTGGTAGTTTCAAACTGCTGACCTTGTGAATTGCAGCCCGATTCATAACTACTACGCTACCAGAGCTCCTTAGAAGGATAGATAGATGAATAAGTGGGTGGGTGTGTGCATAGGTGGGTGCAGGGGTTGCTAGATGGTTAGATGGATGGATTAGGTGGATAGCTGGATGGATTGGATGAGTGGATGGGTTGGTAGATGGCTAGATGGATGATTTGGTATATGGATAGATGGGTAGTTAGATGGTAGAAGAAGGATTGTTGTTGTTAAGTGCCATCAAGTCAGTACCAACTCATAGCAACCCTATGTACAACAGAACAAAACACTGCCCGGTCCTGGGCCAACCTCACAATTGTTGCCACGCTTGAGCCCATCGATGCTGCCACTTTGCCAATCCATCTTGTTGGGGGTCTTCCTCTTTTTCTCTGACCCTCCACCTTACCAAACCTGATATCCTTCTCCAGCGACGGGTCCCTCTTGACAATATGTCCAAAGTATGAGAGATGAAGTTTGGCCATCCTGGCCTCCAAGGAGCACTCTGGCTGTACTTCTTCCAACACAGATCTGTTGGTTCTTTTGGCAGTCCATGGCACTTTCAATATTCTCCTCCAACACCATAACTCAAAAGCATCAATTCTTCTATGGTCTTCTTTATTCATTGTCCAGCTTTTGCTTGCATATGAGGTTATTGAAAATGCCATGGTTTGGGTCAGGAGCACCTTAGTCCTCAAGCTGACATCTTTGCTTTTCAACACTTTAAAAAGGTCTTGTGCAGCAGATTTGCCTAATGCAATATATCCTTTGATTTCTTGCAAATCAATTTCACACCCTTTGGAGGTGTTAGCATTCTGAGTTTTTCTTCGCTCAGTCACTGAAGTGGGGCAGAATCCAAGATGTGGTCTGGACCCAGGCCAGCTTTTAGGAGCAGAAGAGAAGAGTCCGTGGGATTTGTTTCTTCTACTCCCAAAGAGGGCAAGTACGTCTTCTCCTCCCTCCTGCTGCTTCCCTGAGTGTTGATAGTTGATCCAAGAAGAATGAAATCCTTGACCACTTCCATCTTTTCTCTGTTGGTAAGAATGTTTGTCTATTGGTCCAGTGGTGAGGATTTTGTTTTCTTTACATTGAGAAGCAATCCATACTGAAGGCTGTGCTCTGTGATCTTCATCAGTAAATGTTTTAAGTCCTTTTTACTTTCAGCAGCAAGGTTGTATCATCTGCATATCGCAGGTTGTTAATGAGTCTTCCTCCAGTCCTGATGCCACGTTTTTCTTCATAAAACCCAGCTTCTCGGATTATTTGCTCAGCATACAGGTTGAATAAGTATAGTGAAAGAATACAATTCTATCACACACCTTTCTGAATTTTAAACCATTTCAGTGTTCCATTGTCCTGTTCAAACAACTGCCTTCTGGTCCATGTACAGATTCCTCATGAGCACAGTTAAGTGTTCTGGAATACTCATAATTCGCAATGTTGTCCATAACTTGTCATGATCCACACAATTGAAAGCCTTTGCGTTGTCAATAAAGCACAGGTAAACATGTTTCTGATATTCTCTGCTTTCAGCCAAGATCCATCGGACATCAGCAATGATATCTCTCGTTCGACATCCTCTTCTGAATCCAGCGTGAACCTTTGGAAGTTCTCTGTCAATGTATGGTTGCAGCCATTTCTGTATTACCTGTAGTAAAAATTTGCTCACATGGTATATCAAAGATATTGTCCGTTGATTTCTGCATTCCATTGGGTCACCTCTCTTTGGAATGGGCACAAATATGGATCTCTTCGAATCTGTCAGCCAGATAGTTGGCTTCCAAACTTCTTGACAGAGATGAGTGAGTGCCTCCTGTGCTGCCTCACTTTCTTGAAAGATTTCAATTTGTAGTCCCTCAATTCCTGGTGCCTTGTTCTTTGCCAGTTCCTTCAGTGCACCTTGGACTTCCTCCCTCAGTGTCTTTGGCTCTTGATCATAAGCTACCTCTTGAAATGGTTGAACATGAACTATTTCCTTTTAGTACAGTGATTCTGTGTATTCCTTCCATCTTATTTTGATGCTTTCTGCATCATTCAATAATTTGCCCAACTAATCCTTAGTTCCCCCAGCTTGAGAAATGCTGAGCGTGCTCATCCTTTTTGGCTTTCTGACTCCAGATCTTTGCACATTTTGTTGTAATATTTGACTTTATCTTCTGAGCTGACCTTTGAAATTTTCTGTTCAGCTCTTGAACCTCCTCATTTCTTCCATTTGCTTTAGCATCTCTATGCTGGAGAGCAAGCTTCGGAGTCTCTTCTGATATCCATTTTGAACTTTTCTTTCTTTCTTGACTTGTTAATTACTTTTTACTTTCTGCATGTATGATGTTCTTGATGTCATCCCACAACTCTTCTGGTCTTTGGTCTTTAGTGTTTAATGTATCAAATCTGTTCTTCAGAAGATCTCTCAATTCAGGTGGGATATATTCAAGGTCATATTTTGGCTCTTGTGGACTTGTTTTCATTTTCTTCAGCTTCAGTTTGAATTTGCGTATGGGAACTGATGGTCTGTTCCACAGTCTGCCCCTGGCCTTGTTTTGACTGATGATGTGGAGCTTTTCCATTGTCTTTTTCTGCAGATGTAGTCAATTTGATTTTTGTGTATTTCATCTGGTGAGGTCCATGTGTATATTTGTCTCTTATGCTGTCTAAACAAGGCATTTGAAATGAACAAATCATTGATTTTGCAGAATTCTATCATGTGATCTCCAGCATCATTTCTATCACCAAGGCCATATTTTCCAACCACTGATCCTTCCTCCTTGCTCCCAATCTTTGCATTCCCATCATTAGTAATGATCAATACATCTTGATTGCATGTGTGATCAATTTGAGATTGAAGAAGTTTATAGAACTCTTCTATTTCATCCTCACTGGCTTTAATGGTTGGTGCGTACATTGAATAAAAGTTGTATTTACTGGCCTTCCCTGTAGGTGCATGGATATTATATTATCACAGCATTGTACCTCATGACTGATCTGGATATAGTCTTTTTGACAATGAATGCAACACCATTCCTCTTTAATTTGTCATTCCCTGCATAGTAAACCATGTGGTTGTCAAATTCAAAATGGCCAATACCAGTCCATTTCAGCTCACCAGTGCCTAAGATATCTATGTTTATGCATTCCATTTCATTTTTTACATTTCCAATTTTCCTAGATTCATACTTCATACATTCCATGTTCCGATTATTAATGGATGTCTACAGCTGTTTGTCTTCCTTTTGAGTTTTGCCCCATCAGCACATAAAGGTCCAGTGGGCTTTACTCCCACGGGCTTTACTCCATTCATGTCATCACGGTCAACTCTACTTTGAGGAGGCAGCTCTTCCCCAGTTGCATTTTGAGTGCCTTCCAACCTGAAGGGCTCATTTTCTGGCACTATATCTGACTATATTCTCTGCTGTTCATAAGGTTTTCAGTGACTAAATATTCGGAAATAGTTCATCACTCCTTCTTCCTAGTCTGTCTTCGTCTGGAAGCTCATCTAAAACCTCTCCACCATGGGTGACCCTGGTGGTATTTAAAATACCAGAGGCATAGCTTCCAGAATCACAGCAACTCATAAGCCACCACAGTACAACAGTTGGTGGGTGGGTGAATGGATGGGTAGATGGACTGGTAGGCAGATGTTATGAGGATGTTATGAGCATGTAGTAAGGTGTGTGGGTAAGTGGATGGAAGGATGAATGGTTGAGTGGGTGGTAGATGTATGGATGAAAGGAAGGATGGGTGGCGGGTGGGTGGATGTAGATGTAGAGAAGTGTGTGGTTGTAGTAATGTGGTGGGGGTGGCGATGTAGATGAAGGGCTGAATGGTTGGATGAAGGTGAGTGGGTGCATAGGTGCATAGGTGTATATGGGTAAGTGGATGGGTGGTGGATGGATTGGTGGCCAGTGGGTAGATGGACCATGTTTGGTCAGAGGATGGATGCACAGGTGAGTGAATGGGTGTAGAGGTGTTGGAGGAGGATCTGCAGAATTCACAGGCAGGTAGAAGGTGAAAGACCATCTCACTCCCTCCCTGGTTGGTTGTTGTGTTGTTAAGTGCTGTCAACTTGGTTCCGACTCATAGCGACCCTGTCTAGGGTTTCCAAGGAACCGCTGGTGAGTTTGCACTGCCGACCCTGTGGTTCAAACTGACCTTGCGGTTTAGTGCATTATCCTACAGTGCCATACTGGGACTCCACCTGCACAGAGACCTCTGTACACTTAGATACCCTGGTCACACAGCCCCTCAGGATATCCCTAATTAACCTCTATGCACATTCATGCCTGGTACATGCAACAGGCCAATGTGGACAGACGTGTATGCGTGTACACACCTCATGCTCCTATGTACAAGTACACACATACAGCCACCACCCCAGACCTCCTCTGCCTTGGGTGACTTGCCTCCATGCTCTCACCACGTAATGAGACTTAGCTGCAAGCATGTTCTAACTATCCAAGAAAATGCCTTGGCCCAGCCCCCAAAGAAAAACAGGTCCAGACACTCCCAGTCTGGGGCCAGGGCTGGGGCAGAGGAAGGGATCCAGGGCTGGGAAAACCTAATTTGAGGAGTTAGGATTCTACATGCAGGTGAGAGGCAACGCTGATCAGAACATGGAATTTTGGAAATGGGTTGTGAAGGATGAGTAGGAGTTAGCTGGGAAAGACAATCAAAAGACATTCTAGGCAGAGATAACAGCAAAGAGAAGTTTGGAGACGTGGGAAAGCGTGATCTGCTTTGTTATTGTTTGGTACTGCTGAGTCAGTTCTGACTGATAGCGACATCATGCCCAATACGGAACACTCCCAGGTCCTGTGCATGCTCACAATTATTGCTATGCTTGTTCCCATTCTTGCTGCCACTGTGTCAATCCATCTTGTTAGGGATCTTCCTTTTTTTTTTTTTTGCTGCTTCTCTACCAAGTGTAAGGAGCTCTGGTAGCGTAGTGGTTACAAATTGGGCTGCGAACCTTAAGGTCAGCAGTTTGAAACTACCAGCCACTCCACGGGAGAAAGATGAGGCTTTCTGCCCCTGTAAAGATTTACAGCCTCAGAAACCCTGTACAGGGTCGCTATGGGTCAGAACCAACGGCACTTAACAACAACAACTATCAAGTGTGATGTCCTTCTCCAGGGACTGGTCCTTCCTGACAACATGTCCAAAGTACAACAGACAAATTCTCTGTATCTTCACTTCTAAGGAGCATTCTGGTGTAATTCTTCCAAGATAGATTAACTTGTTCTTCAGACAGTCCATGGTACTTTCAATATTCTTCTCCAGCACCATAATTCAAATGCATTGGTTTTACAGTCTTCTTTATTCATTGTCCAACTTTCACATGTATAAGATGTGATTGAAAATACCATGACTTGAGTAGAGCAGCTGAGGACTCTAGACTCAAGGAAAGAGAAAGGCTGTGTGCTGGCGGCCAGGAGGCAGGCCCGCAGAATGTGCCCTTTAGTTGTTTAAATGATTATATGTTCCTGAGTATTTCTGTGTATATCCAAAAAAAATCCAGAGGGAATAGAAGCAAATGCTGTTGAATGATAATGCACGGAGGAATTGTAATCATTGCAATAAAATGAAATACCATAGGATGAGTGTAAAAAAATTTTTTTTAAAGAAAATACCATGACTTGGGTCAGGTACACCTTAGTTCTCAAAATGACATCTTTGCTCTTTAACACTTTGAAACTTTATGCCACCAGGGCTCTTTCAAGAGGGAAGTATCTTGCTAAGTTTATATATGAAACAGAAAAGGCAAGCCACCTACCGAGTACACACAGTAAACAGGAGGCAACAGAGTTGGTCCGGCACTAGAGCCTTTGGCTACCCAGGATGAAGTAAAGTAGTCCTCTGGAGGAAGGCCGGGGACAGGAAGAGGAGGCAACCGGACCCTGCTGTCCACCAGGACTGGTCCCTCACTCCCCATCTCTTTGGCCTTTGCCAGGTGGCCTGGGGAGAAGAGAAACGTCGGGAAGTAGTCATGAAGACTCTCCGGGCTCGGTTTAAGAAGACAGAGGTAAGTCTGATGTTACTAAAATACCGACTGGCTCCCTGGGTCTGTCCAAAGATCCACTGGAGTCCACTTCTTTTCAGACTTATTTTTTGGCAGTTGCAAACTGCTCAAAATCCCCTGCTTAAAACTCTTCAAGGGCCTCTCTCCTCCCACAGGTTCAAGTCCATTCCCTTCAGTCTCTGGCCACCTCACCTCCCTTTGCTCTTTGCTGCCCCCTGCTGCCCTGATTCCCTATGACTTCCTCTACAAACTTTCCTTTCAACAGGCAGTCAGTCCCTCTACCAAGAATACGCTTTCCCTGTTTTATTGTTGTTGTTAAGTACCGTGGAGTCGGTGGTTCCAACTCATCGTGACCCTGCACAGGGTTTCTGAGGCTGTAAATCATTACAGGAGCAGAAAGCCTCATCTTTCTCCCACGGAACATCTGGTAGTTTCGAACTGTTGACCTTGAGGTTAGCAGCCTGATTTGTAACCACTATGCTAGCAGAGCTCCTTTCCCTGATTTATTGCTGCTTATTAAACCCTCTGCATCCGTCCCAATCCGCCTCAATGCCACCTTCTACAGGAATCCTCAGCTACAATGATCACTAGCTTATCTGAGCACCCCCCACCCCCCCCTTTTGGGACTCTGATCTCTTAAATTTGAGTGTTTTCTTCAGCAAATATTTGTATCCGACACTGTTCTAGCCATCAGGAGAACAGTTGTGAACATGGCAAACAAAAAACCCACTCACCCGTACTGGGCTCGTAGTCAAGTGGGAGAGACAGATGCTACACAAGATAAAGAGATAAAAATGCGGATGTTTGTGCTATGGTATGGTGGTTATGTGTACCGTTGGGTTTCTGAGGCTATAAATCTTTACTGGAGCAGAAAGTCTCATCTTTCTCCCAAGAGTCAACTGGGACATTTGAACTGCTGACCTTGCAGTTAGCAGCCCAACATGTAACCCATTACACTTCCAGGACTCCCTGGAAGTCTGGGGACTGGTATAGAGACAAACAAAGCCAGGGAAGGGATCAGAAGTGGAGTGTCTGGGACATGGGAGATGGGCACAGTTTTGGAAGAGATGGTTTAGAAGAGAAGGCATCTTGAGAAGGAAACATTGTAGTAAAGATCAGGAGGGAAAGAGGGAGGGAGATATGTGGGTGTCTGCAGGAAGGGCTTTCCAGGCAGAGACAACAGCATGTACAAAGGTCCTGGGGTAGGACAGAGCTGGCTTGGACTATGAAACTTTAGAAAGAGGTACTTTCTCCTCAATCATCCCTCCTGCGGCTTAGACCCCCGAATCCCTGCCTGTGTGGGGATGGTCCAGGGCACATAGTGAGAGAAACTGGTCTGGCAGTGTCCCTTTGTGCCTGGCTTCCACTTTTCACTGACAACCCTGGAAAACTGGACCAAGGCTGGATTCGAACTCAGGCGGCTCTGCATTCAAATCCTTCTTCTGTCTATGACTGGCTAAGTGATCTCAAGTACTTTACCACTTTATTATGGCTTCCCTCAGTTTCCCCAATGTCTTTTTTTTTTTTGCAGGTGTAAAATACAGCATTTAGAATTTTCATTTAAAAATATACATTTTATGAACTTTCTTAGAATATTTGAATTATAAAAGTCAACATTAAAGAAAATCCTAGTTTCAGATAGGGAGTATCTTAAAATATTATGAAAAAATATTCTTTATGCTTAAACAATGTAAGGAAAGAATACCTGAGTTTCTTTAAAACTGTTCGTTCTAGTTAGCCAATTGATGTTTTGGTAACATTAACAAGAAAACACATATTTTAACACTGCAGTCTTACGTCCAATAATTTCAAGAAATGCTGGATACACACATTAGGTTGAGCACGACTTAACATATTTTAAAGGCATAAGGTTCTTTCATTTTACTAAATTGGACTATGCACTTGAGTTTCCCCAATGTCTTTTATTATTTATTCCTTTTAATGCTTATTTTGAGAGCATGCTGGTTCCATAGGATGAGAACTGGGCTGAGGTCAGTGGTTCAAGTCCACCAACTGTTCCTTGGGAGAGAAATGAGGCTTTCTGCTTCTGCAAAGATTTAAAAACCTGGGAAATCCTATACAGGGTCACTATGAGTTGGAACCAACTCAACACAACAACAACACAATTTAATATAATGCTTATTTTATTTGTGTTTTGCTTTATTATTTTATTTCATTACTTATTAATTTGAATGCTTGATTTTGACTTTACTTTATTATTTATTTTGTTATCTTCCTATTTGATTTTTTAGCATTTCATGATTAATTTTAATTACTTTCATTTGTTCGTATTTTACTTTAATGACTGGTATTTCCTTTTTCATTTTTATCAGTTTAATACTTGTGTTTATTTTTATTATTCGTCTCATTGTTTATTCATTTTACTGCTTGTTTTTACTTTTTTGTTGTTGTGCATTACTATTTATTTTATTATTTTGCTTGTTGTCGTTGTTAAGTGATGTCAAGTTGGTTCTCACGCATAGCTACCCTATATAAGGTTCCTAAGGCTTTAAATCAAGGAGCTCTGGTAGCGTAGTGGTTACAAATCAGGCTATGAACCTCAAGGTCAGCAGTTCGAAACTACCAGCTCTTCTGTGGGAGAAAGATGAGGCTTTCTGCTCCCGTAAAGATTTACAGCCTCGGAAACCCTGTACAGGGTCACTATGAGTCGGAACCGACGCCATGGCACATAACCACCACCACCAACAACAAGGCTTTAAATCATCTGGACTCAGAAAGCCTCATATCTCTCTCACAGAGCGGCTGCCAGTGACCTCAAAACGCCAACTTTTTGGTTCCCTGTCCAGTGCGTATCATATGGAGCCACCATTGAAATATTTATTTCACTTTTTGTTGATTTAGTTTATTTTTACTTTATTATTTATTTTATTGCATCCTTTTACGTATTCATTTAAATATTTAAAATTTTATTTTACTTTATTATTTCATGATTTCCCTTCTATTTCATTGTGTATTAAATTTTAACGATTATTATGTCTTACTTTTAGTACTTTATTTTCATTTTTTTTTTTTTCATGTTTCATTTCATTTTTAAATTTTCGTTTCATTTCTGTTTTTATTTATTTATGCTCAGACATGCTAGAGAGCTCTTGGGGTACTTTGCAGATGTCACCAGGTCATTTAATCCTCTCAACCATCCTGTGTAGGAGGAACTCTCTTTATCTCCAGTTCACATTCAAGGAAAGGAGGCCCAAAGAGGTTACAGAGTTTGTCCCAGGTCACCCAGCTAGCATGTGAGATACTCACCCTTTCTCCAGGGCTGTATCACTGTGAAAACCGCAGAGTGGAAGTTGACGATGACCCACCACCTGAACTTCCTATTCACCATGCCATCAGTCCCTCTCCTGATAGTCCGCCTTCTAGAATCTCACCCGTTTGAGTCCGTCCCTAAGCTAAATGGTTCTCCTCTGTCCAAGGACTTCTGAGAAGCTGTAGCCACCAGTAAACCAAACCCTGTCATTTAAAACAGAGTGATATTTAAAGCAAATCTTTCAAGATGTATGTGTAGTGAAGACACCTCACTGGAGTCATAGCTGTGCTGGGATGTTTGCTGTCAGAGGGTTCAACACACAAAACGAAGACTCTGGGGGATGGGGGAGGGAGACTCACAGGCCGTCAACCCTGTAAACCAGTTGTAGATCTCCAAGGGTGTCTTGCCGAGGTAGAAACAGTGGGTGCTCCAAGAGGGAGGGACCAGGGACTGGGCCAGCCTGTCCAGAGACCAGCAGCTGTTGGGAGCCTAGGGGGGAAAGGGGGGCTGTCCACCCTTGGCCCTGCTGTCGCCCTTCCCTCTCGCCACCTGTCCTTCTCCAGTTTCTGGGCAGGCAGCTGGAGTCAGGTTCAGCTTTTGTTCAGCAACCCCAGGGAAGAAAGCAAACACCGGTGAGCAGAGGCCCTGCCTCATTGCTGCCACCAGAGGTTTAATTCCATCTCTTCCCAGCACACCCAGTCTTGCTCCACTCCTCTGCTGGAACCCATCCCAGCCGCCCAGTAGGCCCCCTCTGCCCTGTTCTTTCTCTGTCACACTGGCCCTTTCTTCAGGACTCCCATGAACCATACTGTTTCCTCTCTGGGCCTCAGTTTTTCCATCTATGAAATGGGAGTGCATTGGATCTGTGAGCCTTCATATCTGCATTCCTATCTGCTTCCTGTCCTTATCTCAGCTTCCAGGAAAACCCACAAACAGCAAGATGGGAGGCTTTAAGGATTCCTAGGTCCCTAGGTGGTAGAAATGGTTTGTGCACTCTTGCTAACCTAAAGGTTGGGAGTTCAAACCCACCCAGTATCTCCATGAGAGAAAGACTTGGTGATCAGCTTCCAAAAGATAGTTGTTGCTAAGTGCCATCGAGTCAGTCTGACTCATAATGACCCTGTATAGGGTTTCTGAGGAGCGGCTGGTAGATTTGAACTGCCAGCCTTGTGGTTAGCAGTCCAGTGCTTATCCCACAGTGCTATAAATACTACAGGCAAGCAACTCATATGAAGCCATTTTACTCAGTCACATGGAGTTACCATGAGTGGGGACCGACTCCAGGGCACCCACCAACATTTACCTAAAGGTTGGTGGTTTGAACTCATCCGGTGGTGCTGTGGAAGAAATACCTGGTAATCAACGTCTGCAAAGATCACAGCCGAGAAAACCCTGTTGAGCACTTGGACTGTGGTACATGGGTTTACATGAGTTGGGATCCGTTTGACTTCAATGGGGTTGGGTTTTTGTTTTTTTTAGATACAGTCTATCTTATACCTCCAACACTTCCTGGCAAGTCTTGTCTTTCTGTTTCTTTAATCCACTCAACAAACACTGTTGTTTGTGTGTGCCAGACATTGTTGTAGATGCTGGGGACATTTTTTCAGGGCCCCATGCTCTGAGGGTTCCCACCTGTGGTTTATGACTCTGTTGTAGACATGTCTTAACATTCTTAATAATTTGTGAATCGCAGGTCCTGAGCCCTGCAAATTCTGTAGCTATTTGTCCCGGGGACCCCTGACTACCCACACAGCCCATTTCTTTCCTACAGCAGTGACCAGGACAGCCGTAAGTCCTTGCTCTGGTGGTGGTGGTGGCATTCTAGGTAAGGAGACAAGGAGAAAATAGACTTTTATGAACTTGATTTCAAGTTTTAAATATTATTGAACTTTGATTTTAAATTTTAAAATACTTACAAATAATTCTAAAACAAGTATGATGTTCAGGGAATGATAGGCGCCATGAAGAAAAAACAGACCCTGTGAAGGAATTCAATCAAGAGGCGTCTTTTAAAGAGACAGTAGTAAAGAAATCGGCTGGTTGGATAGTGAGGGCTATCTAGGTGGTTGGTGTTGTCAGGTGCCATCGAGTCGGAACCGACTCATAGGGACCCCATGCACAGCAGAACGAAACAATGTCCGATCCTGGGCCAACCTCACTACCGCTGCCACACTTGA